CCAGCCGCAGCCTAGTTCAAAGTTCCCAGTAAACACAGCGTTCTCTGGGCGGATTAAGTTGTAACACTTTTTTTTTTTTTTCTTAACTCCTTTTCGTGGGGGAAGCAATAAAGAGGTTGGAGCTTTTGTTTTAAAATGTCTCCCTAACAAAACAATAAAAAGGGATCGCCACTTTTATGAGGTTCCCTGAACAAGGGACCGGTCACAGGCTTATTTCTACTGGAAAGCTGTATTTAAGGTGGTCTTTGTGCTGCTTGATTCCGAAGCTGGTTGGGGTCTTTTGTCCGGATGTCAAACCCCCAGTCCCCTACAAATGAGCTCCCTTTTGGGAGATCAGCGTGCAGAAATGAACCGTCCTCCCCTTCAATTAGCAAACTAAAAGCAAATTAAACTCACCCCTTGTTCCCCGCTCAGCTTTTTAATGGGGGACTTTTGGAGAATATGAAAATGCAGCAGAGATGTGTGTCCGGCCAGTCAGGTCTCTGTTCTGAAGAGGCAGCGAAGCGGGTTAAACCAGCTTATTAAAATGCTCCAGTTCCCTTTCCCCCCCCTTGCTGAGGCCTTTATCAGGCACTTTCAGACAGAACCAGAGTTTTAAACTGCTTTAAAAAAAAAAAAAAAAGTTTACCTTTGGGCGCTACAAGGAGTGTGGCCAGCCCTGGAGATAGCTCCCAGATCAATACTATCTGTAATTAAAGCACTGAAGTCAGCTGCCGGCTGGTTCAGTCAGATGTACGCGGCGCTGAACAAAATCAGAGGGATATTTACGATGCCGCTTCCCGGTTTCACCGCACTGCGATCTCTCCTGGACGGCACGTCCCGGGGAGATGCTGGGGAGAGGGACCGACGTTTTTCTATTCAGGGCATTTTTGTACATTTTATTCGCTTTTCCACGAGGAAAAAAAAAACCAAAAAAACCCGTGCGTCCACCCCCAGTCCCGTTAGAACGGACGAGGCCCAGTCTTTGCTTTGCTCTGCCGGGCAGGCGGGAGCCCCGGCCCGAGCTCCCGGGGCTGGGGGCCGTGGGAAGGAGCGGGGAACCGGAGCCTCTCCGAGCAGCGGGGCCATCAAGCTGACAGCCCACGGGCGAGCTCCACTCTGCGCGGCCCCCGCCTGGGCTATCCGGGCGCTGCTCGGGGCTGCGCGCCCGCGGAGGCTCCAGGTGCGCGCACGGAGCATCCCCGGGAGCTGCTGCTCGCTCCTGCACACCTGGGGGTCTGCGGGAGCCTGGGACAGCCCGAGAGTGCCCTTCCCGCACAGGGCACGGAACAGAGGGGACACGGCTCCGGCCAGGGTGGCAGCAGGACATGGAACAGAGGGGACACGGCTCCGGCCAGGGTGGCAGCAGGGCACGGAGCAGAGGGGGACACGGCTCCTGCCAGGGTGGCAGCAGGGCACGGAGCAGAGGGGACACGGCTCCTGCCAGGGTGGCAGCAGGGCACGGAGCAGAGGGGACACGGCTCCTGCCAGGGTGGCAGCAGGGCACGGAGCAGAGGGGACACGCTGCGGACAGACCCCGGGGCTGGCAGGGCCCGGGCCCGGTGGAGCACAGAACGGGCTGGGACTGGAACATCTCCCTGCTCCGGGGCAGCACCGGCGGCCGGGCAGGCGTGGGACTAACGCCCGGTGCCTTTCCTCCCGCAGGTAAAAGTATGGTTTCAGAACAGACGGACAAAGTTCAAGCGGCAAAAGTTGGAAGAGGAAGGTTCAGACTCACAACAGAAGAAAAAAGGGACTCATCACATTAACCGGTGGAGAATCGCCACCAAACAAGCCAGTCCAGAGGAAATCGACGTCACGTCGGACGATTAAAAACTGGCACTTTTGGACTTTTTAAAGCCAGCACCCCACCAAGAGAAAGTGTTAAAGGCTCACCCCCCACCCCCGCGGTGCGGGGAAGGACACGGAGATCTCCATCAGAACGCGATTCCTGCCTGGGAGGGAGCTGGGAGCGAGCGAGGGCTCCGAACTGTGGCACTGCCGGCACCGCTCTGGCAAAGGGGATCTGTCAATCAAAGCCAAAACACCGGGACGAGGTGATTGACAGGTATTCCGTTTATCGCAGTCCACTTTTAAAAACATACGTTAAAAAAAATTAAAAATATATAGAAAAAAATCATAAAAAGGAAAAAAAAAATAGAAGCAAAAAAAGCCCCAAACCAAACCAGAAAATTAACACCTTACGGGACATTTTGCACTTCACGGTTTTTTCCGTCTTTGAAAGAGAAATTTCCATAAGCAGCCAAAACCCACACCTGTTTCAGAAACTTGAATTGCATGTGTAAAGCCGTCTGGGGAAAAAAAAAAGAAAAAGAAATCTAAAAAAAAAAGGAAAAAAATTACTCCGGTTCCTAAAGACAGAAATGAATTGTAATTTTTTTCCCCTTTAAGACAGGTTCTGTGTGCTTTTTAATTTTATTTTACAAGAAATGTGCAGTCTGTAAACATTTTATGATAACTTCTGGCGTCAAAGTGTTTGTGAAAGCTAAATGAAGTAGCAGTAACAAAGCATAGTGTTCCTTCCGGATGGACAAACACGGTGGGGAGGGGAGGGACGGGAGGGAAAGGCTGGGGGGGGCGGGGGGGGTTGGGGTTGGTCATAACTTTTGCTGAAAAAAAAAAAAATCAAATGGAATTAAATTATCTCCCCCCCCCTCCCCCCAACTGTATCCCCATTGCAAAACCGGATGGTGATTACTTTTTTTTTAAGATTAACAAAACGCAAACCCAGCGACCAGTTTTGGCGGTGGGGACACTTTCTAGGCTGGGAGGATCCAGAGAAAAGGGACTTAAAATCGAGGATTGATTTTTTTTTTTTCCTTCCTAATGGCCATTTTCATTGGGTCAATTTTCAAGCACTGACCTTATAATATTCCGAGATCATAGAGCTACTAAAGAAAAAAAAAAAAAAAAGTGACAAATGTTTCCTTCATGTCTCCTATACCAGAATGTAAATATTTTTGTGTTTTGTGTTTAATTTGTTAGAATTCTAACACACTATATACTTCCAAGAAGTATGTCATTGTCAATATTTTGTCAATAAAGATTTATCAATATGCCCTAATTTTTTAAGCAATATCTTTTCCCCTTCACCTCCAAATTTCTCGGAAACCAATGGTTTCCCCCCACACCGCCTTGTTTTTAGCTGCTGAACCCCCGCGGCCGCGCCGCGCATTCCTGCGGCCATAGGCACATTTTCTTAATGTATTCGCTGGCTGCTAAATAGACCTCTAAAAATAAGCCGCAGAGGCGCACTTGCTGTATATAAATACCTAAAATCTACGAAACAGAACCAAACCAACCAAACAAAAACCTCAAGGAGAAACCCAGCCCCTTCCCTGGTTAGAAATTGAAGCGCGGACCGGTTCGTGATGGTGAAACTGGTCGGCAGCAGCCGCGCTCCGCTGAGAGAGGCTTTCCTCGGCAAAAAATATGTGTTTTATTTAGCGAGAGAGGATTTTTTTTTTTGGTCTTTTCCCCCATCTTTTCTATCCCCCGTGCAGGTGGGAGCGATGAGGAACAGGTCCTGTGAGCAGAGGCTGCGCCCCAGCTGCTGCCGCTCTCAGGGAGCGATCCTGGGCACTGAGTAAAACTCTGACATTAAAGACGAGGGGGAAAGGAAAGGGGAAAAAAAAAAAAAAAAGAAAAAATGTTGCTCTGGGTCCTTGAGGAAACTAGCTGGTTTTCTGGGGGTACACAGTTGTTTTTTCATGCTTCATTTGCTCCTTAGCCTGATAGACTGCATTAATCAGTTTTATTTCCATTGATAGAGAAACCTCGTCTGCTCTGTTCGAGCTACAAAGAATCCTGCAAGCTTTTGTGAAAGTGCAAATCAGTTTAGGCAATTATCATACCAGGAATATGAAGGGGAAAGAGGAGGCATTGCCCAGTGGTCTCCTTTAATCTCTTAATCCGTGGATCCAGGGGGGCTAGTTGGACATAATTTAGGACAATCTGACTACCCTTTACACTGTGATAAGGCGAAGTTACAATGCATCGCAAAAATACGAGCTTTGTTAAACATACTGCCTTGAAAAGTTAAGATTAGACATTCTGTGCACGTGTTGGCTCTATCGGGTACTATGTAAATTTAATTTTTTAAAAAAAAAATCCGATTTTTTTTTTTTTAAGCATCTCTTCTTATACAATCCCGGTGACTTTCCATTCACTTGTGCTACAAATATGAGAGAGGCCCAGTCAGGGTTAGGACGCATGTCGCAATGCAGTCCCTTCCATTTAAACCTAGGCTAATTATTTAGTAGAGCTATTCCCAAGGTAAACTCGTGGCGTTTCTTCCCTCCTCGAACAGCTGATGATGCAGATCTGGAAACCGAGCAGGATGCACATTTCCCCTGAACTCGCCCAAGCTGCCTTGTTCTCCACTTCAAACCCGGGCAAATGGGCAAACATTAAACGGATTGCGGCCGAACAGCAGACTTGGGCCTTTCTAGAAATTGTTTCCCATCTTGATAAAAGTCTGATTTCTGCAGGAACCATATACTTCTTCCCCCACCCCTCTTTTTTTTTTTATTTTCTTTTTTTTCCTTTTTTTTTTTTTTTTTCTTAAACCGTGAGGGAAGAGAGGGAGAGAGGGGGAAAAAAATTAAGCGTCCTATGTAGCGTAACAGCAATAAAATCTTCAGAGAATGCCATTAGCTTTGAAAAAAACCCTAAAAGCTTTATTACAAACCCAGCTTTGAAAATAGGGGGGATTAGGAGTCTGAAAGGGTCCCACAATGGTTAGAAGAAAAGGTTTCATGCTAATGAGGTTAATGCCCTTTGTATCTCAGGACTCCACAACTTCATTACTCCCTATCTCCGGCTGCACCAAGCGGCTCAGAACACTGCAATCCACTCCAGCTCTCCCCTGCCTTGCCTAGAGAAGGATTTGATAGCAGCTCTGTTCAAACTAGATAATTATATCTTTTCAAGTCGGAATTAAGATAAAGAAAGTGAAGCAAAGGCGGCTAGCCTTGATCCACTGCAAACAAATTTGGCGCACTTTCTAGTCTCTCTCCCCCTGCCTCAATAGGCAGGACAGTCAGCTTATTAGACCCTCATTTGCTTTATTAATTCATCTATTTAAAGTGGCAGGATTAGAGAGAGGGAGAGAGAGGCAGAGTCTAATGTGGGACAGTGGATGCCAGGCAACGTGGAAATATAAATATTGGCGAGATGCTATCCGAGCGGGCGTTCAAAAATACATTTTATATTAAATAACTGAGAGGGGTGGGGGAGGGAGCGTGGATTTCGGGTGGCGAATTGCAAACTCTGACGGAATTTTACGGCTTTTTTGAAGGAAAGCTGGGGGACGGCTGCCGGGGACCGGCTCTTCCTCCGGGGGACGCGCGGCCCTCGGTGCCTGGCGGGGGATTTGGCCCCCGGGCTGCTCGGGGGGCTGCAGGACAAGCGGGGACCCCCCGCACCCCAGGGCCCGGGGCCGCTCCTCGCAGCGCTGCCCCGCAGATCCGAGCGGCCGGGCTTGTGCGGTTCCCTCCTCCACCGCTCTGCTCTGTGTGTCTGTCTCATCTCCATCTGTCCTCTGCTCTGTCTGTCGGCCAAGGTCAGCGCATCCCGCCCCTCGCCTCCCCCGGCCCCTCAGCCCGGGGTCCCCTCTGCTGCCGCTGGCTCCGAGGGCCGGATCCCCACCCTCCGCTGCCAGGCTCTGACCCCTCCGGCCTTGAATTTTTAACCCTTTCCCCTCGGACAAAGCCGGCGGCTTCCAGACGGGGTTGCTTCCCACCGGTGGGATTTGCGCTCCCCCCGCGGCTCAAGCCCGCACCCACGCAGCTCTGTCTTTGCCACTGGACCGGCGTGAGGCCGGGGGCCTTTGGAACCCTCGCTTTGTTGTGTTTAAACGCTGTTTATTTGTCTTCCTCCTCCGACGGACCGCGCTGTTACCTGTGAGGGCTCGGCGGCAATTAGCGGTCCCCCCCTAATTAGCGCCCAGCCTCCGCACAGCCCGCGGGAAGCAGCTCGGGCCGGATTCCCCGATGAACAGGATTCTCCCAGCCCCTGCTCCCGTGTCCATCAGCGGTTCATAACTGCTCGCAGCTAATACAGCCATTGATTTACTTCTCCAAAGGGTCCTGCTGCGAGGGGGAAGAGGGAGTTTAGAGAACCTCCTGACCCCGAGCCGTAACCTCTCTCCTCGCCAGCCCCTCTCCCGGTGCGACGCTCGCAGCCGGGGAAGCCCAGCCCGTGGCCCACGCTTGAAACCGAAAGGGCCATTAATCACCTTTCCTCTCTCGCTTTTAATGACCTTTTGCAATTAGCGCCTGTTGCAGGGAAGGGGAGCCGTGGGTTGTGGGGGTTCCTCCCGGTGTCCCCTCGGACCCCTCTTCCCCGGGGGGCCGTGACCGCCCCTGCTCCGCGGGTGTCCGAGGATGCTGCGGGCGCCGGGCTCAGCCCGCCCCGCAGGTGGCTGCCCCGGCCGGAGCAGGGAAGGCAGGATCTGCCTTCTCTCATCCTGATCCTTCTCCTTGTCCCCGCCTTGGGGCCGCTCGGGAGCCCCGTCTCCCCGCACGGCCTGGCTGGAGCCCCGGCTGCCGCGGGGGCTCCGGGAGAGCATTTATAGAGCCGCTCTCCATCGCCCACGGCTGGACCTGACGTCAGGAAGAACTTGATCTCGCCCGCTTTGCTCCTGCTTCTGAAACTGATCCTTGAAATGAGAGAACAGACTCTACACAATTCCCATGGCCTTGACATAAGGTACAGCGATAAATATACACCACTAATGAGCAATTACCATATAATCACCTTCCAATTAGCTCGCATAATGATGAATTAAACATTCTAGCCTGCTGGATTAGGTTTCTTACTTTGTATATTATTTACGAAGGCTAGCTTCTGCTGAGCACCAAATATCAAATTAGATAGGGAATTTTCAGTTGGGGGTAATTACGCATTCAGAGCATGCCCGGAGTTTTTGTCACCAGCCAACTAAAGTGTATTGGAAGGTAGTGTCCATCCTTTTCTGTCTTTCCTTTTTGATGTCTTAAAACAAGGTCCACGCTTTTTCTGCCAATGCTCCGCACGTCGCCTCCCCAGTATTAATTCTGTTTCCTTCCCCCGGGCTGGACAGACAGAAAAACTGACCGATTTTTTTTCTTTTTTTTTCCTGGGACAGTTAAATAATAAGGGACAGGCAGAGGCAGGATCTGGGAAAAGCAAAGAATCTCACAATCCTCTCGCTTATGGTTGCTCCATCCCTGGGAGATGGGAAGAATCCCGGCCTGTTATCCCGGACAGGTAGAAAAGCCCTGGTCCTCCGCTCGGGGTGGTGAGGTCTGGCTCCT